ACGTTTCATTCCTTCTTAGGCGGCGCCTGCGTGGCCCTACTCAGCGCGTAATCAAATCACTTCGCTCATGCGTCCGTCCATACGCATGGAGCAACTTGAGAACGAATCAACCGAGAGGAGGAGTTTACACAAACGTTTCGAGCCACGTCCGTTTTAATTTAGATCGGGAAATTTTAATGAACACTTTACGTTAGAGCGTAGATTCATAATAATTTAGTCACAACAAAACGTCCTACAAAAAGACAAAAGCTTCAATTCCAGCAGTAGGTCGCAATAATAAAACATGAATTTGGGTGTAATTGAAAGGTGCTGTATACCTGTTCGTCCGCATGTTTGATCTCTGAAACTACTAAACGATTTCGACTAAGTTGTATACTAAAAGCTGTTGACACAATTAAATATTTATTTCACCGTCTATTTTGGGCAATTTTAACCCTGGAATACTACACTTATAAATAGTCCTTGTAATACTATACTGGGGAACTATATACCCCAAGCGATATTTCAATGACAAGGAGATTTATAGTTTGAACAGACAACTTTTATTGATTCAGGAACTTTCTTATACGTATGGTCTTCATCACTGCACTCTTCTTCTTCATGCGAATCTTCATCATCATCTTTCTCAAAGAGAGTTCGCAAAATCTCTTTTTCACTCAGGGGCTTATTTTCCATTTTCTTCTAAACTAAAAAGAAAGTTTCGTGCATCAAATGTGCTTTCTACAATAAAATCATGACCCCCGCAAAAAGCGCTTTTATTTACTCTGTAATGAACACATAACCATTCTTTTATACTTGTGTACATGTTTCCATGTTGTTTCATATATATGCTTAGTCAATTGTGATTATAATAATGAAATAAAATTAAAATATCATTCACAGTTTTACTTACATGAATACTACACTGGGGAATCCAGTACCCCACCATCGTATTCCAGGGTTAAGAGGTACCAAATGGTAGGAATTAACGGATGGTCATTTAATTATAGACTTGTAGACCCTTGTTCTTGTTCTGTTACATGATTTGTTACCATTCAATTCTCTCGTCATTTCCTTGTTTACTCATTGTGAAATGATAGTAAAGGGCACCTGCCTGTTAAACAAGATATTTGTGTTTGTTTAGTCCTTGTTTATTACATCCGGATGTCAGCCATTTATATCTTTTGACCTGACGATATTCTTTGACCTCTATAGTCTGAGAAATATATTAGATCACACTGATCTTATTCAGAGAGCAGTGGCATATGTACAATTTCGGAGAATCTAAGTTTACTGACTACTGTATATTTTTTAATCACAGTTTCCATGAAATAACTACAAATGTCTTCGTTCTCGGAAGACAGGGGTTCGTTATCTCTTTAGCAGAAAGATACCAAACTGTTTAAACTGCAAACAAACCAACAACTATTAACACTATAATAGACACTATTGCCATACGCGTTTCGACCTCAAGAGGTCATCATCAGTGGCATCAGGGAAATTAATAGATTTAGTCAAATGGTTCAAACTAGATTCAGAATTAAAAATGAAAAGGTATATGACAAGACTTTTGAAGTGACACTGCACTAGATGCCGTTATTCACAGGAGTAAAACTTGCACTTAGCTATCGATCCCGTTGTTCGGTGGCCGTAGCTGGTCTCGGCGAGCTATAGTTGCGTCGTCTGTACCTGTGAACTCCAGAACTGTGGGTGAGAGGTTATAATACGCAATATTCATATTCTGGTCATTAGGCTATTAGGTGAAAATACTATTTTTCGGATGTGAGCACAATACGAATAGTGTGCAGTGTAGAAATTGAGCGAACACCACCGCACAGAGTGCCATATGATCGGTGACTGCCTGTTTTTGCCGTCCCATTGCAGAAGCCAAGCCCTGAGAATTCAAACCCAAATCAATATAGTTCTTTGCAGATGGGGAAAATAAAGGGAAAAAAACGCAGACAATAGCAGAAGCTGCAAAATTTATAGTTGGAAGGTGATGCTTTCGTTTATCCTTAAATGTCATTATGTTTGAATAGTATTTTTAATCAAGTGAAGACAAAAGGAAATTTCGAAAAAGATATATTCTGTGTAAACATAGTTATGTTTCATATTTATAAGAGAAGGAATGTTAATCCATCAAGTGTGCTGCGACAAATTAAAGAAACATTCTTTAATGAAGGGGGCTGAAACATATATTTACCGAATTTTAAAACTAGATGGTGATTATACTTCAGTATCTTTGAAAATACTAGATATGGTTAGTACAATTGGATGTGGGCGTTAGTGATCTTAGAAATTGATTTTCTATTCTTGCACGGAATAGCTGTTACTTCAACAGGCTCTTTGATGAAGGAAAAGATATGCAACGACATTCCTAGAATAAAATTAATAGGTAAATATTATATGCGCTCAAGTGTTGCGACTTCAGGTAACTAGCTTCTTTTCCGAGGCTGCACTTAATGTATCTTAGAATTAATTAAATTGATATCAGGGTATTAAATGGAAATTATATGCGTTACAGAATCCTCATGTTGTTCTTTATTACATTTATTTATGATAGTCACAAGTTTATACAATAAATTAATGTTATTAGAGAAAATAATTATAGACTTATTTTCTATTTGTTGTGATTTTATTAGTAAGAAGTCTTTTCATTGTGTACTGAAATATTATAAATTTTAGGCAGTACAAAAAATATTAATATGCGACGTACAGAGTACGTATATAAATAGACATTATCTCGTCTATCAGAGTAATGTAATAAGTAAGTAAATAAATAAATAATATTAACTCATGTAAAACGGTAATAATTAATGTGATGAAATGTATGACGTACAATGTAATTCATGAAGGCGGGAGGCCTCAGTGCCGTTCTTAGCGGCAGTAATAAGCAGGTCAAGGACGTTCTGTCGTTGAGAGGAAAGAAAACTAATTTTTCAAATGCTGTGCAAGACATGTTACATGGAATGCAGTACCAACATATCTAATAATAGGTAGGGCATATTGCCGGATATATGAACTGATTTGGATGTCAGTTATTTTCTGATGATACTGATGTCTCAGCGGCAGTTTTAAATCTTATTCACAGTGTTGCATCAGTAATGTTTTGGGTATCCGTAATATCCTGGGTGTCCAAAGTGCCCAGTTGGGATTAGTGGATCGACAACAATTTCTTCAACCTCTTCTACTACTGCGGGGTATCCGTAATGGTTTTGGAATCCGTAATGTCCTGGGAACCCAAAATGTCCGGTTGGGGTAGGTGGGTCTACAACAATTTCGTCAATTTTTTCTAATATTGTAGGGTGTCCATGGTGGTTAGGGTACCCGTAATATCCTGGGTGTCCAAAGTGCCCAGTTGGGATTAGTGGATCGACAACAATTTCTTCAACCTCTTTTACTAGTGTGGGGTATCCATACTGTTTTTGGAATCCGTAATGTCCTGGGTACCCGAAATGTCCTGTTGGAGTAGGTGGGTCCACAACAATTTCTTCAATCTTTTCTATTATTTTAGGGTGTCCATGGTGGTTTGGGTATCCGTAATATCCTGGGTGTCCAAAGTGCCCAGTTGGGATTAGTGGATCGATAACAATTTCTTCAACCTCTTCTACTACTGCTGGGTATCCGTAATGTTTTTGGAATCCGTAATGTCCTGGGTACCCAAAATGTCCTGTTGGAGTAGGTGGGTCCACAACAATTTCTTCAACTTTTTCTATTATTTTCGGGAGTCCATGGTGTTTTTGGTACCCGTAATATCCTGGGTGTCCCAAGTGCCCAGTTGAGATTGATGGATCTAAAATAATTTCTTCAAATTTTTCTACGACAGTCGGGTATCCGTGATGTGTAGGGATCCCGTAATGTCGAGGGTATCTGTGGTATCCAGACAACACTGGCTTTTCAGTCACAATTTCTTCAATTTGCTCCACAACAGCGGGTTGTCCGTAATGTCCAGGGTATCCATACAGTTTGCGGAAATCATGGAACTCGTGTGAATATGGTCCTTCGAATCCTAGGTTGGATGGATGTCCGGGATAACTGTTGTAAGTGTATTTCTCTCCGTAATGCCCGGGATAAATATCGGCAAAATTTGGTGAAGGCAGATACTTGCTAGGATAACCGTAATAATTATTGTTTCCGTAGTATTCTGGAGACAAGGGACCTGCGTGAATGTTACCAGTTGATAGAAGATGTTTGTCCTGGAGTCCGTAGTATCCTGGATAGCCTGAGTGCCAACTTGAAGGGTAATCGGAACCGTAGGGCAAGGGTTTCTCGATCAGTATGTCGTCTATAATTGAGCTTTGGTAACTGGAGTAGGGATATCCTATGTAATCGAGAGTCTTGCTAATATCGTATCCTGTGTGATCAAAGTTTACATTAGAATATGGCGTGGAGTAGGAGAAGAGAGGGTGATGGTAATTAGCGTTGTCAAAGAAGGGGTCAGGGTTGTAAGGACCTGGGAATGTTTTCCCGCCGAGATATTCAGAAACGCCTCGATGTTCAATGATGGGTGTTTCTGTGACTACTGGAAGAACCAACTCTTCGCCGACGTAAGGCAATCCGGTATTGAGGACACTACTACTGCCTAGTAGTTTGCTGTAGAATGGAGAATGCCTTGTGGATCGTGTTGATGCATCATCGGTGTTTGCCTGAAAATCAGTAAACAAAACAGGATGCAAATGTTGGCAGACTCTGTTTATGTAGCAGCTATATTGTTTACATTTACCTTCCACTGACGGATATACTAAATAGCAACACTTTTATCTACTTAGAGCGTTTGTAAATTGGAAATTTTCACTTCTTTAAACACGATACAATGAATGCTTAGAGTGTAGGAGTTTCTACTTCGGCATCGAACAAAGGTTAGGTCAGCCCTACTCTCTGGCCGCCATTACGTAAAGGAATATATTCCTCCCGGGTCTGTTCCATAGGAATCTGGATGCTCACTAAGTGTGTTCTGGACATGGTGGCAAAGAACGAAATTCCAAATGCCCCTGCTAAGAATCGAAATTCAACCCTTCAGCGCCAACTGAGCGTAGTGTTTATCTTACCAGTGGCTGTTTGATAGATTGTGGACCATACTGTATCATCTTGTCAGTCGTGTTAAAGGTTTTTTTCGCACGAAGGGTTTGTCCTCAAGAGTTAAGTTAGATCAGTGCGAGAATGGATACTGTATCATACAGTATTCATGGAGAAGTCTAATAATTTTATGATTAAGTTTAATGAATGTCGGAATACTGTATAATACATGTATACGTATACCAGACCCTGCGATTCGACAGATTTTGGTAAATGATTCTTGAGACTGCTAGGAACAGCCTTAACAAATTAACCCTACATACTTCATGACTATATATTTGTGTGTGTGTGTGTGTGTGTGTGTGTGTGTGTGTAAATTACGTAAGACTTTGAAGACTAGCAATTTTTATTTAAGAATCTAGGAAATATTAATTCAGTTGAGCTTATCACTACTTGTTTGTTTTTGTACTTTTAACTTCTGAATTTTGAAGTATTTGTGTTACTTTTTGTGAAACAAATGTGACGAACTTGATTTCATCGTCTAATTAATTGCTTTTGAAGGAAACTGGAAAATTAATGTATGCAGCTGTTTTCCACAAGTGCAGGTCTTTCGAAATAACATAGGGCTTGATTGCCCTCTTGATGCGCAGAAGCGAGTTCAGGTGCGCGGTAGTTCTAATTGCTGTCTGACTGTGCATGTCAAAAATACGTGGTTCTGAATTATGATTACTGTATGCGTGCATTTCTTAGTGCTTCTATCGCCTTAGGACCATAGGAGTATTCGAAAATATGAAATGAGTTGTTCTTACCTGACAAACTGAGATGACCAGAACAGAAAACAGCCACAACGTCTTGGCTGCCATTTTTGGAGTAACACTTAACTTCCGAACTAAGCAAAGTCCTTCTACTCTCGTTTACTGTAGAACTGAAATTACCAGCTGGAACTTCAAGTAACTCAAAAAGACAAATAACTAAGACGTTTCGTGGCGTGGAGGAGGCTTGTGGTTTCTTTGCAGAAACCTCAGCCAACTGATGATTATCGAGAGCTCTCACCTATCTTTTATAGTCCGTCATTCATAGCCGTTTGTTTATTATAGGACGAGGAATCATGATAAGGAATTTGCGTTGTTATTAGAGAGACTTAGTTTACATACCTTTTTGCTTTCCAAGTGTTGAAACGTGGGGTTTTATTGTAAATACAGCAAATACGACATGACAGTCTGTGACCTTTAAGCACGGTCTACTTCAGCAGTCAACCTCCAAGGTTTCTTAGTTGTCGGTGACCGAGGAAAGCTGCGATTCCACGAATGCAGTTATGAAGGCTTGTTTTAAATTTAAAAGAACTTTGATAAGTTACTCTTGCTTCTGTTCTTAAATTTTAAAATAATCTAGGTATAAATACTGTCCATAAATTTGCCCGTCTTCCAAATTATTTATATGCATTACATTTAAAGAATACTGACCATCCATTCCCATCAAGCGGTACATAAGTGAACACAATATAAAAATCGTACTTGTATTAATATATGCCTGTATATCCATGCCTTTATTCTCTGAAAATAACGTATGCAAACTATTTCTATTAAATCTGACCTAAATGTACGCCACCTGTTCGTGGACACATGTTATTTTGTTTCTTATTGGTGAAATATAATACCAATTGAAGATGAGTGTCTTCAGGGCTTTTGCACTATGTAGTCTGATAAAGGTTTGCTGACGTTTCAGAGGTCTTGCTTCCTCCAACATAAGAGCATCGTGATCACGGTAGTATCAGCTTTGGAACGTCGGTAAACCTCTATCAGACTACACTACACCTAATAGTGGATAAAACGAATACATTGAAATTGATCTAAGGGATCTAGCGATATTGCTCTTGTGGTGTGCGTGACTATGCGTGACGTACAGTAACGGAGTGACGAGATGTTGCAAAAATATTGAAACGTGACGAATAAATACAAAGCGTGACCAAGCGTGATAATGCGTGACTATGCGTGACGTACTGAAAGGGCGTGACGAATTGTGGCCATAAGTGTTCAAAACGTCACAACAATTGTCAAAACGTTACCTAACCTAACAAAATCCACAAAACAAACACCCTAACCTAACCTAACTTAACCTAACCTAACCCAACCTAACCTAACCTAGCGTAACCAGTCTTTACTCTATCTAACGTATCGAAAAATAGCAGAAATTAACCGAGCCGTACGTAACATAACTTAAGCGTGCAAAAACGTGATTTAGTGACCATGCGTGATCAAGCGTGACATTGCGTGACTAAGCGTGACCTGCGGTTAAGGCGTGGATAGGGATCGCCAAATGTGTCGAAACGTGACTATGATTTACGAAACGTGACCAAGCGTGACAAGGCGTGACTATGCGTGACGTACAGTAACGGAGTGACGAGATGTTGCCATAAATATCGAAACGTGACGAATAAATACAAAGCGTGACCAAGCGTGACTATGCGTGACGTACTGAAAGGGCGTGACGAATTGTGGCCATAAGTGTTCAAAACGTCACAACAATTGTCAAAACGTTACCTAACCTAACAAAATCCACAAAACAAACACCCTAACCTAACCTAACCTAACTTAACCTAACCTAACCCAACCTAACCTTTCCCAACCTAACCTAACCTATCCTAGCGTAACCAATCTTTACTCTATCTAACGTATCGCAAAATAGCAGAAATTAACCGAGCCGTACGTAACATAACTTAAGCGTGCAAAAACGTGATTTAGTGACCACGCATGACCAAGCGTGACATTGCGTGACTAAGCGTGACCTGCGTTTACGGCGTGGATAGGGATCGCCAAATGTGTCGAAACGTGACTATGATTTACAACGCGTGACGAAACGTGACCAAGCGTGACAAGGCGTGACTATGCGTGACGTACAGTAACGGAGTGACGAGATGTTGCCATAAATATCGAAACGTGACGAATAAATACAAAGCGTGACCAAGCGTGACTATGCGTGACGTACTGAAAGGGCGTGACGAATTGTTTCCATAAGTGTTCAAAACGTCACAACAATTGTCAAAACGTTACCTAACCTAACAAAATCCACAAAACAAACACCCTAACCTAACCTAACCTAACTTAACCTAACCTAACCCAACCTAACCTTTCCCAACCTAACCTAACCTAACCTAGCGTAACCAGTCTTTACTCTATCTAACGTATCGCAAAATAGCAGAAATTAACCGAGCCGTACGTAACATAACTTAAGCGTGCAAAAACGTGATTTATTGACCACGCGTGACATTGCGTGATTAAGCGTGACCTACGTTTACGGCGTAGAAAGGGATCGCCCAATGTGTCGAAACGTGACGATGATTTACAACGCGTGACCAAGCGTGATAATGGGTGAGTAGTGACCGACGGAAACTCCTTCATCCCTTCCTTCCTTCCTTCCCTCATTGAGTGGTTCGCATACTGGACACTCCCTGCAAGGCTAGCGGCCATAATCGGTGGATCCAGTTCTACTAAACGTCGGTTGCTTGAGGAGCACTCCATGTTACGATGTCCCTTACGACCTTCACCCCTTTTTCGGTCAGTCACGTGGACACCGTTCATTGAAGTCATAATGTTGTTTACTGATCTGAATGTATATTAAGTGACATTTATAAATACTAATTTGGCTTCAACCTTGAAGATAAATTTTAGCTAGTCGGTCCTTCAAGTCTTCACATGTGAGGCCATTCTTTGTTTTACTTTGAAATTGCAGTCACATCGTTTTGAAAGGTTGCCAGATTGTTAGCCTTAATTTTAGATTGGGGAGGGAACCTCAGGTGTCCGCTTTATATGAAACTTCTTTTGCCTCAACACAGTTATGGGGAGCTGTGTCCGTAATGCCCGTAATATCCATACCGGGAATCGAACATCGGCTTTCATTGAAAAACCATATCTTTACCATCAAAACTATAACTTCTCTGAAATAGCAGTAATAATAATAATAATAGCAAAAGATAAAGGTACCCCTCCAACACACGGTGTTATTAAGAAATAAGACAGCCTGTGGAGTGTTTGTTAATATTAACAATAATTTATTTTACATTTATATAACAATTCAGTGTAGAAATAAGCTCCGGAATAAAATGACACACTTTGGTACTGCAATACGTGTTGCATGGAATATCGTTGGGTTCCATATCTCCGGTGCAATTTGACCGCCATTTAGTTGCCGGTTAGTATAATTCGTGCAGTATAAAAGAAATACATTCAGAGAAAGGAGTTTAATTTTAATAGTAGTGGTATTGCGTAATGGTTGTATATAATATTTACAAAATATACATTTAACAACTGTCCGGTACATGTATGTAACATGTAGTACACTTGATATCAGTGGAGATTTAACAACTGTCCGGTACATGTATGTAGTACACTTGATATCAGTGGAGTCATTTCGTTTACATTAACAATTTAATGTCCACTAAATGCGCGAGTTTATCACGTTCGTGCAATGAACTTTTCAAATTATGAACATACAAATAAACTAGTTATAAGAGGCGGTGAAATAAAGGTGGGCCGTGTTCGTTTTCTTTCCGCAGAAGTTGTGTTTTATTATGTGCCCTACTCGCATTATGGAAAAATTGTCTTGTCTAGGCGGTGCCAGAAATGATACTGTATGAAAAATGTGCATTGTTGTTGGCAATGAGACTATTTTCTGCGAAGATGTGGCCACCACTAAATTCTCCAATACGATAAATACCTTCAAGCGTTTATACTGTATTTTGAAATAAATGTATCAAAATTCGTATCCCACTTTTATATGAATTTACATTGTTTTGTTTACATGGCGCATTGACTTAATATTTACTTAAGAAAATGTACAATTTGACACTTGCAGATGGAAATAACTCTTTAATATGTATATTTTTATTGTGCCTTAATTTAAAAATTGCACAAATTTCGGACGCTGGCTCTGCTTCCATCTTCAGGTGAGCAACTTGTCGTGCTTTTGAATGACCAGTTCCGTTTCTGTCCGCATAACCCTTCGCCTTTGTTGGGATTAGTACGTTAGGTTAAGTGTTTTTGCCATTCATTTCATAGGCCTATGTATAGGTGTGAACTGGTTCAACAGAAGAAGACTATTGAAATACGGAAAACTGCGAGATCTAATACTCGTCAGACACGTATGGACTTCGTATCTGTGTTTCAAGTCCAACGTCGCTGTCCGGGATTTCTCTAGGGTATACCTCATGACTGTGTTGAGATCTTCTCTGGGGCCGGTGCAAATCCAATTTCTCAGAAGGAGAGTATTCTTCGTAATGTCGGTAGTGAGCAGGGACGTATTTTGCTATTACTTGTGGTGGTAACTTATACGAGTAATGTTTGGATTTCTTGTTCCCAATGGAACTGGCTTCTGTATATTCAGAATGCTCGTGTGGATGTATGGCACCTGGGTAATCTGTGATATGTTTTATTGGGTCTGTGTGACTCTCTTTTCCCTTACTAATGTGGTTGCCAACTTTAGAAAGAAATGAATGCTTGGGTTGGGTATTAGTTTTCTTGGGTTCTAATCGATATTTTTCATTTCTATTTAGGTTTTCAAATACTTTATCCTCTTCTGTCTGAAATATTTGATCTAGTGGGATCCTAGGTAATGAACTATGCCTCTGATTATAAAGCTTTTCGGAAAGTAGATTTTTTTCGGACGTACTTGTGGGTCTATTGTATTCAGATTCATGCACTAATTTACCATCATTTTGGATTTTCGGAAAGTAGATTTTTTTCGGACGCACTTATGGGTCTATTGTATTGAGATTCATGCACTAATTTAGCATCATTTTGGGTGGAATATCCATACATGTTTCCAGTTTTCCATTCGTCCAGATCATATTCCTTAACCTCTCCCTCATATTTCTGACGTTTTCTGGTCGCATCTATATTGTCTGTGTTGAAGAGAATTACTTTGTCTAATAATGAAGGTATAACGGTTTCTGCAGCTTTGTTATCAGCAATGGCCTTTGAAATTTTGTGGTCCCTGTCTTCTTGTGTACATTCCTTGCATTTTCTTACACATTTACCCATGCAAGACACATTTAAGACTTTGTTTCTGCATGGAGATTGTTTGACTCCCTCACGGACACCTGTTGGCACCAGTTTTCCCTTTTTGTTGCGCGGCAACTTGAATGTTTCGTGAACAGCGAAATGTCTGCCCTCAGACTTGTTCACCACGTTCGTGGGCCCTTTCTGTTCCTCGTACCTCTTAATTTTGTCGTAATACTTGGTAGTCTTGGGATGATTTATGTTATTTCGCAAATCACACTGACGAATATGTGTGTACAGTCCAGTATCAGTATCTCCCTTGTGGATTTCGCATGGCAGTTTAATTTTACTTTTGAATCCAATTTCATTTGTTTTGAAACCTGCATTTGAATTTATCTCTGGGTGACTTCTTTCTGCATTATAATAATTCATTTTCACATCGTTTAATATTTGATTTTTCATATGACCCCAGTCATTAATATTTGAGGAAGATATATTCATGTCTGCGAGCCCGTGTTTTCCAAGCATCTTACTGATTGATTCTTCGATTTGAAGCTGTACTGCGTCAGCACGAAGCTGCAGACTTAGATCTTCTTTTTTCCCTGTTGCATTTCCTTTCGATTTCGATTTGTTGAGATGTGGCATCAGTGAGTGCGAATTGTAATCATGGACGGCGATGCGATCGGTGTTCCTGTGCATAGTACCGGGCGAAATTTTGTCATTATTGTATTGTAAATTACTCGCAGTTCGTTGAAAACTAACAGGAGAGTAATGTGTCTCCTCTATTAATTTTCCATCTTTAATGTGAATGCTGGGACGAATGTTGCTTCGTATTAAATTTGCTTTGTTACCTGGGAAACGTTCGTTATTTAATTCCCAAGTTATCCCATAAGGGCTGGCGTTTTGAGGGGTGTGTTTTATAAAATAGGTTTCATTAAATTGGCGGAAAAGGTTTGGTAGTGCATTTTCTTTGTCTCCGTGATTCTCATTGTTTGTGGGAGAAAAAGATTTCTTTATATTCTCTACTTTAATTTTAACATTTGGATGATGGCGAGTTCCTCTGAAGTCGCCTGTTTGGTAATTGTTTAGATTGTCGTCTAGATTTGTTTCTACGTTACTGCAGCGGCAGTGTTCAGACTCTTCCTTGTTTATATAAGAATTGGATTTAGATATCTTTCTCTTATCTGTTTTAGCATAAAATTTTGGGTTATAAGAGGCTTCTCTGAACATTAATGTTCGATGATCTTTTATGCTATCTTCTGTATTTATTTCGTCTTTACTGGATCTGTCATGATTCCTGTGGTGACTGAAATAGTCCCACGGACCAGTTTTCCTGTAAATATTAATGCTTCCAGCATCTTGAGCCAAAGTTTCAATGTTGTGGGCATCTTTTTTAAGCTTCTTATTCTGTTGCTGAGACAAAGTGTCACTGTGTTTGCTGCATGGATATGAAGATGTTGTATAATCAATTGTATTAGATTTTTCTTCTATGGGCATGTCTTTACCTTTTTGCTCGCGTGTATATTCTTTGCCGTTTTGAGCAGAGATCGGTATGGTGGTATGCCCTTCTTCAATACCACCCTGTTTATATTTCAAATCATATTCATTCCGGTTGTTGTCTCCTTGTCGGTAGCCTCCTTCATTATTTTCGACAGAAAAAAGTATGCCTTTCGATTGGTGAGGGAAATACCCTATAATTTCCTTGTCGTTCCGAACGAAAGACAGGTCGCTATAAATCTGATCGCTTAATTTCATGTCTGTCTTAAAATTATTTGCGTGAGTGACCGAATTATATTGATCTAAACCAGTGCTTTTGTATATTTCCGGATCACTATGATAATCATCATTGTGACTGGAAACAGGATGCACAGAATCGTTGTCTAACTTCGTGCTTTTATCTTTTTCGTGTAGATACGTTGGTGAGTTTTTGATGAACAATTTCCCCATATCTTGATCTTTGTCATCAAGATACTGTGTGATCTGGTGGAGTTCCGTTCCAAAGAGCTTATTTCCTTGTTTGAAAAATGGTCTTTCTCTGTTTCTTGCAGTTACAGTATACGGTGGTTTAACACGAGACTTAAACCCGGGACTACTGCCGTTTTTGTTTACAGTGTTGATGGGAACTGTTTGCCGGTGTACTTTGGACAAGTTCATGTTGGAAGACTGGCGGTTTGTTTCAAATCGTTTCCATCTAACCGTTTCACTTCTGTTGTCAGTTTCATCAAGATTTCTTTCAGATGCATCCTCTTCCCTCTTGTCCTCAGTTGTGTCGCCCGGATACTCAGAGTTCTTTACATCTTCGTGTTGATTTATGCTATCAGATGGATACACGATTTTTTGTTCTACTTCTGAGGCGTTCCATGTTTTGTTTATTCTGTGGGTGTCCTGTGACTCCTGCTGCGTCTCAGAGCTAAAGGGAATTCCACTGTCAGTCGTACTGTTCTCTTGGTTATGGTAATGTATTTGGTTCGGTGTAAGAATAATTGGATCATCATTTATGCCAACAATTGTTTCTTCCTTGTTACTATTTATCAAAGATTTATTGTTCTGTAGTGAATTTAATTGTTTCTTCTTGTTAATTGAATCTGCATCTAACTTAATTTTATGTTCGTGCATGTTCATAAATTCATAAATTTCTTTGGAGTCTGCATTATTTGTTTCACTTTGTATTTCTGATTTTCCATTGAAATTGTTATTATACTGACCTTCAGTTACTTTCCTACCAAATGTATTAGAAAAGGTTTGTTGCTTCTTGTTGACAGTCGTGTCGTTTTTACTGTACGCCGAAATGGCGTTGTCTGAAAGACTTCTATGGATCGGTGGTGAAAGTGACGTATGATCCATTTCGTCTGAAATGTTTTCTTCGGTCTCCTCATGTGTTGTGCCTTTGGGATTGTAATTTTGATGTTTTCGCGGGTGTTTTGCCTTTGTGTTTTGTGCATCATAATGCTCTACGCGTTTGTGATGAGCGTTGCTTTCATTCCTTGCTTTGTTATATCTTGGAAATGTGTTGTTCACTTCATCATCTGCATTATCTTTCCAGAACGAATCCGTTTCGAGAAAATTAGCGTCCTTGTTACTGAAATCTTGTGCTCCAAAATAATGAACCCAGGACATATCTTCGTAAGTTCTCCTGTCTTCATCCGATGCTATGTAACTGAAGCTGTCTACTTTGCTGGTTGTGTAAGGGAACGCTGTGTTATGTTCGAGGTTTTCTGATGGAAGGAGGTGATTAAAGCTGTCGTTTGTTTCTTCCGACACTTTGTCGTTGTGTTTGTGGGAAGAGTGACGCTGGTTTCTGCGCATAAAATTTCTGTAACTGGTGGAGTTATTAGGTAAACTAGGCGATACTGAACGTTTGTCGTTCTGTTGGTTCTGCATAGGTGAGTGAGACAATGCGTATTGCTTTGCTTTTGCATGATTTACATCTTCGGTCTCTGAACTGCTGTGTTCATTGGAAGATATTGTTCCCACAAATTCCAAACTGCTGTTATTTTCTGTATGGGACTCAGACCTTCCCAAAACCGAATTTTTGTCAAACGTTAATATAAAATAATCTCCAGAGGCAATGGAACCAAAACCATCCTTGGCTGTGTGATCATATCCTATGTTTTCATCATTAGTATCTCGTTTTTCTCTGCTTCTGTGATGGTTTATCTGCTTCTTATTGCTATAGCTGTCACTGTGTGTGTAATATTCTCTGTCATCGTACCTGGGTCCTTTGTTTAGGTAGTAGGCTGAATTATTGGCACTTCTACTTGAGTAGAAATCATGGCAGTCCGCCCCGACACCTTCGCTACTGAAATTACAAAGCATATGCATGACCTGAAATCACTTACTTAAGTAGTGACATAGCATTACACACTTGCGCATATTTTCGCGTAGACGTGCCACCGTGGCACCGAAATTCGCGGTTAGCATTCCAGTTTAGTGTTCTCGGGGTCCCGGGTTCCATTCTCAGCCCCATAGGCCGTTTATCTTTCTTTCATTATTTTCCTCTCTCCAGGCTGAGATAGTGACTTTAAGCAGACCGCAGTCTCTTCTTTCCACATATTTCCCGTATCATAGTTCATAATCGTCCACCCATTCGACTCCGTGCAATCCTCTGTATTTATTATTTATCTAATGACGGTATCTCAGATTGTGCAGCGTCGAATGAGAGAGTGGTTAATTAATAATGAGTTGGAAAGAATGTGGAAGAAAACGGTCGTGGTCTATTTGGATGTACTTTTTCGGTATTTTCTTGGAGGGACTAAGGAATCCCACGAAAGCCTCGGACAGGATAGCTGGCCTCTGGACCGGAATTTGAACCCCGAGATCTGGAATCTTTAATGAATTATAGACGTCATATGCATGGGGATAACCTGCCTCTTTAAAAAATTAAATACCTCTTGATTTAGTTATCTGCTTACGTCTTGGGGTGTGGCTTTGGTGTAGGCACTAGCGGCTCGTAGTTAAACAAATATTTGAGCTCCTCCTCGAGTGCCGGAGGGACCTCCAGTTTGTAGTCGTAAGAGCTGCCCGCAAAGGCTGGATTCTTCCTGGGAACTTGCAGCTGGTAGTCGTAGGAGTGTTGACGTTCATCCTTGATTTGTCGAGGCGGCACATGCACTGAATATCCGTAGCTGTACGTTTTTGGTGCCGTTAGAATCCTCGACACCTCTCCGTGGTAGGGTAGAGCCTGGTGATAAATGCAGCTATTAATTCAACGAATGATATTGTAGGGGATGACGTATCCAACAAGTTCCTGGCCGTATAAGTTTTTATGTTTTATTTATTATTATTTTCTTAGTCTCTAGACAGGCTACATTGCGTAAAGTATCCACCATATCCTGTATCTTTTCGTTCCTAGGCTGTGATTTTTCCCAACGGTTTAGAACTTAACACCAAGAGCGAAATTTCAAAATAAATATGGAGTGGACGTAATATTATAAGCAAACAAGTCGCTTGGAATAAATAAACGTGCATAGTTTCATTGCTTAACATGAATTTCGTACTTACTTCTTCTGACCTTTTGTGATGGAGATATGAACCGGCCATCACCTGAAAAAATGGAAATTGTCGTGTTAACTCAGATTGACCAAGCGTCGTTTACTAGCAAAAAACCGTTAGCTGGGGATGAATAATGCGAGTCGAGCACAGTCCTTGAAAAGCTAACAGTCGCAAAAATAATCAAGAAATTCCCCGCCTTTATATTGCCTGAACATTAATTATCGTATCCACTAGATCCCGCTGCGGGATCATATCCTGAACCTTTTCAATCTATTCCAGACCTTTACATCCTCTGATTTAAAATTAATTTTAATATTATCTTTCTATCTACGCTTTTGTCCGTTTGTCCGTTCAGGTTTTCCGACTAACATTTTGATACATGTCTCAACCATTGCATGGTTTTTATTTGGTCATCCTAATAATATTTGATAAAGAGGACGCAGCCTGAAGCTCCTCACTGCAAAAATCTCTCCATCCTTCTTTTACTTTCTTTTCCTTATACACGATTATAATTGTGTTGCTTCTTGCGTACTCAAGAACACAATGCTGAAGAATATAGTTTGCTTAAGAGAATGGAGAAATTTACACAGTGAGGAGCTTCATAATGTGTAGGCTACTCTTCTGTCTAATGGAGTATGAGACAGACGAGAAATATAGAACGCATTGTGACGTGAAGAATGCATACAGCATTTTGGTTGACGACCTGTAGGGAAGTGACCACCTGCGAGGTCCTAGGCATGTATGGGGCGAAAATTTTAAAAAGAATCTGAAAGCAATCCGGTGTGAGGATGCTGGCATTCAAGAGACAGCGTAGGGCCCACTGTTGAGCTTTTGCGAACACGAGAATTGAATTTCTGGTTTAAATGGAAGGGAGAGATTCCTGACTAGCTGGACAACTGCAGAATTAGTAATTGGGGACTGAAAACTAAAAATGTGGCTCGAAAAGAACTGTAAGTATTTTAAGTTCTGAAAGGGGTTTATTTTCGTGTCGACTTATGTTCAGATGAATTTGGTGTTTGCGACCAGATTGCTGCAACATTGCTTCCCAGAATAATCTGGCAGTATCTTGTCTCTCTCTCTCTCTCTCTCTTTTCTGTGAGCATCTCGAAAATTTCTTCTACTCCGAAGCAGGTCACGAACTGCATTTGAAAATCACCACTTCATACTTGTTCCTCTTACAGAATAAAATTGCGACATTTTGCATATAACAACAGCTCTGCTTACCTGGCAAATAGATGTCAGTATCATCAGGCCTCCTGTCACGGGGGAATTACGCTGAACCATGTTTCTTGTTCCTGTTCTGACTGGGGTGCGACTTGATATGCAAGCTGCTGGCGTATACATTCAGTTATCCGTTCTGTGTCCGTGACACTGCCTTTATATTACAGCGATATTGCGTAAGTTTTATGCAGTTTACTTAGCTTAAAACATTATATTTACATTTTCTGTATTGTTTTCATAATATTATCCCTATATTAGGTACCTTATTACTCATCTGTTTCTTGTAAATTCCATAACACACGAGCGAGGCAACAGCACACAGTGCCATACGGTTGTTATTGACTCGGGAGATCTACAGGTCGTCCATCTTCTGTAGGTTCCACACTTCGGATGAATTAATGTGAAAAGTATGCGTTTGTTGGGAAAATCTGACTTTAAACACACATGTTCCGTCTGTGCATTGAACTTGTGTGAAGCCGCAGGTTTAAGCATGAAACTTATCTGAATAATACTTAAAAATCAATTCCTATTTCAAAGAAAATTCCACTACAGTTGGTTAATTCTGTTCAAGGAAATAATCACTGTTTACCCTGAGATCCATACAGAACCCAAAAATACATTCTTAAGGCTATGCCATTTATTGTTATGAGGGTCGGACATATAGTTACTACTGCGATATGAAGAGTTAAAGCTGACCAGTGCTTTCAGACAAAATTACTTTAGTAACAGTAGTTTAGTTGAAGTCTCTTCAAACTCCGGACGGGACGAATTATCCTTAGTGTGGTTACCGGTGTCTCACTGAGATTTCGGGGTTAATTAATTAAACCAAAACACGACCGTCTCCCATTCGATGTTAATTTGAAGCGAACGTTGTTAGTGACCTTGAGTGTTGACACAGATGTGATTAAACAAAACTTTCTTTGTATTCTTGTAGCATAAGGCCTGTTTATTTTCAACCACTTACACTGAAATCCCCTCAGAGGTTGTACAGCATAGTCCGTCTCACCCATACAACGAGTAGAATGAATAAACATGAAAATTTGTCTGTACAAAAGAGAACGGTTGTAATCTCTGAAAAAGAAAGTTTTGGGGGTGTTTGAAACTATAATTACGGAATAAAATGAGAAATGAAAGGATTGAAGGAAAATATCCCGTGTTGTGTCCAGAAAAAGAGAATTTTGGGAAAGGATGTGCTAAAAATCGTTGAAAGGAAAGAAAGAAAGGATTGTTTACACCGAATCTGTGATTCGATGGAAGTAACTAATTTGAAATAAGGGACATAATATGATCAACAGAGTTAGAGTAAATGAACAGCGAAGTTGAGTCTCCTCAGGGACCCACATCAGTGGGTACGGGGACTGGCACCCCCGAGGTACTCGAGCTGCCCGGTGCCTGGGGGTATAGCTGGGCCACCCTACCTCCGGGGGCTGTAAATACGGAGGTCTGGTCCTCCTTGTTGGGGCTTGGACGTGGGGCTGACAACCCCACCCTGTAAAAAGCAACTTGTTACGAAATGAGATGAAGCAACTACCGGATGAAGTCATTCACGGCGGACTGGCAAACAGATTGTCTGTGAATGAGGAAGAATGGAAGAAGCTTTTGAAGTAGGCCAGGGCCCACACAGGGCTGTAGAGCCAATGATGATGATGAAGTTGAGTAGCTTTTTATACTTTGCGTGCAAAGGGCCAGAACATAAGAAAATAATACTTTCTTACGCGGAAAATCTCACAAACAGTTTTTTATTGCTTCAGATATATTTATAATTGCCACTGAGTTTATATTTTAACATTGCAATGCTGTGGATATAGGCCTGATTGTAATCATGTGAGCAGTGATTTTTAATTATACGGGGAGGCTAATTGGGTGGGCGTTTCCTGGAAGACCTTGAAATATTTATAATACGGTTGTTACACTCAAACTTCAAGAGTTGTGTTTCCTATTTAGGTTATGCATACAGAATTAACCACCTTAGCAACTTTACGTTCTGTCGCGTTGGCAGATTTTCGGTGTAACTACAAGCCTCATAAAACAGACACTGTATTTAGAATGGTGTAACACTTCCAATACAAATAATACCAGCAGGAAGGCCGCGGGAATTTTCGAGATGTTAGAGACAACAGCGCTACTCAGTGTTCATATCCTGATTTTTTTTTCTGTTTTGCAGAATTAACCTAGTGTTCATAATTTACTCGATAAAGAAGTTTATTGATTGCATAGCCAGGATGGACGAAAGAAGAACCGCGCGCAGAATTTGGATGGGAAATTTCCTGGTAATTTTCTTTTGTACGGCCGAAAACATTAGAGTATAATATTACAATTTATCTTAGGAAAATGAGGTGTGAGAATAAGAAGTGAATTGAAGCGACCGAGAAGGGTGTCAAACATAAGCGATCCTAGAATTTGTTCGTTGTTTGTTGCAAGGGACTTATAGGATTGCAATTCATTAACTTGTCTCGCGGTTAAGTACTTGAGGTATTCATCAAAAATTGAATATTTTTGGAACGTTTCAGCTTTTTTTTCTCAAAAAAGTCATGTTCTAGTCTTTGTATGCACCATTATTGCCTCGCATCCATTGTATATGAAAGGTAATATTCTAAACATGTGTAATTTTTATAACTCATTATGTATGACCATGGTTGAGTTTGTCATTAATATATTTCCGGAGTTCGCCATATATAAATAAAACTCGCGTCTTTAGGACGACCTGCGGTCTTGTAATAATATATACACCTCCAAGCAAGTCATCATATTAACATTATAAATTTATTACAAAAACCACGCCAATAATCAGCATGTTGTTTCTCTTTACGAAGAAAATTGCGTAAATAATACGGCGCACGATTTTACCATATTCGCATATAGGCTTACAAATTTTTCTCTGCGTTACGAATTATTTTTTCACACAAACATAGAAACATTCACTGGCACACGTTTGCAGTGCTACACACATTTACTTTTAATAAACTTCACGAGAATCCGTTTATCAGTCTGAAGTTAAAAATTATTTAACTTACTCCTAATATGTCACTGTCGGATAGGAGAATCATTGTGCCCCGTAACTGGTTCAGACGTGAAAGCGACAAGAAGAATCCTCCCTCCTGCTTGCCTGTGCAGTAATAACAATATTTAAATGTTTAATTTTCTGTTTTATTCGTAAAAGAATATCTTTATTCCTAAACCAGCTAAGTGCGGGGTATATGCGTATATACATATTGATTTATTTAGAAATGACATTTATTAGAAGTACCAGAAGACATAGATGCTACACCCAAATACATTGCTGGTATACATATTGAAAAAGCAAGTAACATATTCACTGTCCCCATGCTTGTTTTATTATATCTGAAACTTTCTCCCCTATCATAATACAAGGAGCATTAGTGTTCCCGCTCGTGATGTATGGCATTATGGATGCATCGGCAACTCGCAGACCTTCGACACCATGCACCTTGAGCTGAGGATCTACAATAGCTGCTGCGTCCTTCTTGGGACCCATTTTACACGTCCCAGATTGGTGATGCAATGTATACACAGCCTCAGGTCCCCAAAGTGGGCTTGTCCCAGACAAAAAGTCCTCTCTTCTCGGCAGAAACGACGCGTTTACCTTGAAACCGGCGTCTGTGAGTGCCTTTGTCTTACCGAGTTCCACGGCGACTTTGTAACTTTCCAGAATAACATCGATGTCTTCCGGTTCTTTAAAGTAGTTAGGATATATTAGAGGCTGTGAGAAAGGGTCTGTTGTGTTTATGGTTAGATATCCGCGGCTCTTCGGCCGGAGGATAAGTGGATTGACGATTATCTGATCGTAATAACAAAATGGCATAATCATTTCGTCATGTGATGATTTTGTTGTGAAGATAAACTGAATATCCGGGTTGTCGATTAATTTGTTTGCGTATCTCGAATTGATCTTCGCGACAGTTTTGCATGCAGCTATTGAAGCCCATGGACTGTCTCTTCGTGAGAATGAGTACCTTAGAGAATCAATCAGGATATCCTCATTGCTCGGCATCACACGTGCATCCTCGTTCAGGCTGAAGAAAACACCTGGAGCAGTAAAGTGATCCTGTAAATTTTGACCGACTTTCAAATCTTTTATGATGGGAATTCCTAAAGGAGCAAGACTTTCTTTGGGTCCAATTCCTGAGAGCATGAGTAACTGTGGGGAATTGATTGTACCAGCACTGATGATTACTTCCTTTTTGGCGAAAACTTTCCCCGTTGCGTTTCTGTTTCCTTCAAAAGCATACTGAACTCCATAGGCCGTTTTGTTCTCTGCATGAATGAGTACTTTGGTGACTCTGACGCCAGTAACGACTTTTAAATTCCTTCTCGTGTTCCGGATTGGCTCTAGGAAAGCTCTGTTCGTACTCCGACGTTCTCCGTTTTCTTGCGTTGCCTGAACAGACATTACACCTGAATGGGTTTCTGTATTAAAATCGATACCATCATAGCCGATTTCCTTGAATGCTTCGTATATTGTCTTTGCGTTCCTTTCTTCGTACGGAAATCTTCCAACACTAAGATAACCACCCACACTGTGGTACTTGGTGTTATTAGCGATATCGGGGTCAATGTTGTTTTCGGACTTCTTAAAGTAAGGAAGAACTTCTTCGTAACTCCAACCGACGTTGCCTGAAATATGCAAATTGCTTGTTATGAGGCTTTATTAATGGCTTCTTGATATTCCCAAATTCGAGATACATTCGAACAACTTGGGTGGGGGGAAGCTGTTACATTGACTTTGAGGTAATTTACTTGCTCGATTGGTGGAATGCAACATGGCGTTTGTGAGTGTCTAATTTTACCTTTTTCGGCCCAGTGGTTGTAGTCGTGGCTGTTGCCTCTGTTGTATATCATGGCGTTTATTGAGCTGGAGCCTCCGAGAACTTTCCCTCGCGGCCAATAACACTCATTTCCTCCACATGACGTTGTCTGTTTCTGTGTCTTGTAAGCCCAGTCCATCCGACCTGGCTCCTCTCCGCCTGCTTCTAAGAGCAGAACTGACCAATCCGCTACCTCTGACAACCTGAAACATCATCATAATATTTAACTTAAACGCTACTTCTTCGTGCCTGGGCCTGCTCGCTAGCTATAGCTGGTAGATATTCGGTCGACAAAGGAATTCCCCACTCTTGAGGTCCCTTTTCAGTTACTCCTGCACCGGATTCTATTCTAAACAAACTTCATCAATTCCCCATCCCCACGCCCCATTTCTCTAATATCCATTTGAACATAATTCTGCCATGCATGTCCCTGTGTGGTATCTTCCTTTCAGGACCAACCGATGCGTTCTTGTCTGTTTGCAACTTGTTTGTTCGTCATCGTGTCCAACAGAGGATGATAGTGAGTGATGAAATGAAAGTTTCATAGAAGGAAGTGGTTGTGGCCCATTTTCACTCTTTGAAGGACAAAAATAATCTAATTAAGCCCAATGTTTAAACCTTGGTTTTCTCCTCAAAGTAAGCACACCACGTCATCATTATAGCCTCTGCTGTAGATGGACATGATAGATCAGCTTCACGCTTTGGCCGCTTTACCCCTGACATCAGCTTCCTGATAAAGAAACTTGGTTTTACCCAGATTCGATCTGAACCGAGGATTTTGCATGAAACCTGAGTCGTGTGTTCCTTATTCTAGCGATACCAGCACAGTGATAAACTTGTATGCTGTTCTTTATCAGTTCAAATCAGTTAAATGCCTGGTAAGTATAAGCATTAGCGATGTGACCTGTTGGCCACGACGCAGCCTGCAGATCCGGCACCGACTACAATGAAGTCGAAGTGCTCGCCATCTTGGAGTTGAGCAGGCTGCTTAGTGTCAGGCTCCTGGTTGATGACTGAAGTAATGTAGGTCATTATAGTGGGCAGATAGGAGACCGCGGCAACGCAGGTAGACGTGGAATTCATTTTAGTTCCCCTGAAACATGAAGACGCCTCTTTAATTTAAGAAGTTACTTAACGATACTTTTTGAACTGCAGTCTTTGTATCAACGGATGTGGAATAGGCAAGGACTTGAAAGGAATGACGCCTTGTATTTTTCAAAGTATTACCTCGCCATTCCTCTGGAGAGGCTAAACAAAGCCACGGAAGAACTCACTAAATATAGCCGATAGCTTGGTCCATATTCAAGTAAGATAACTTTCAAATACTAAGTGAGTTTTTAGGTTCTCACGGCGGCGAGTATAAAGATGACTGTTTCCTGGATGTTTAGTCTCTGCAACTAGCCCAGGTGGCGACTGCACTCATGTTTCACACTTTTCGCGTTTAAATTACCGTTGAAATCCCAAAGGTAAATTATTGAATTCTAACTGAACTAAGACAAGACACATGCCTACAGCATAGCAATACGGACTTCTGGCCACTTCATGTTTACGTAATATTTCTTTAGTGTGGTCTGTATTGCCATTATCTCTCACCTGTTCCTTTCATTACTCTCACTGATAATCCAATAATTCGAAACAGTTTCCATGTAACAGTTTACGACTAAACATCATAGGTTGTCACAAGCTCGAAAATTGTTGTTCCTATGGGGCAGAGACTTTGAGAAGCTGAAAATCGATTAGATGGTCAATATTCACCGCCTTAATAGAACCCAAAAATTCGTAATTGTGTTCAGAAGAGCCTGCAATTGTAACCTCTAGTGACCCATTTGAATTCAGCCTACATCCTCGCATTGTTTTAACTAGTTTTAACATTATTCTTCAGCGTATGCCAAGGTCTTGTAAGATGTCGCTTCCCTTCAGGTTTTCTTACTATACTTGCACATGCACTTCCCATCCCTCTTGTGTCTGCGTTTGTTTCTGCCCCATCTTGGTCATCGTCCTTGATTTGGTCGCCCTAATAAAATGTGGTGAAGAGTATAGATTATGAAGCATCTCATTATGAAATTTTCTCCGTTTCTCTTTCTTCTTTCCCATATATCAAAATATTCTTATCAGTACCCTGTTCTCAAACACCCCTCAGTTTGTGTTCTAACAGTCTGTATATTTTCACATGAAGCGTCTTGGTTAGGTATATTCCTTATCTACTTATTCATATTTAATATTATCCTAAATAAGTCTTTCTCCCCCTCACCTCCTGAAAATAAAAAAAACTACGTCTTTCTTTTCGTGGTAGCGTTGATAGCTGCTAGACTGATGCGAAACGCTTGCATACAGTAGCCATACAACGGATAAAATATAACTAACTCACCGTGTTATATTCGGTGGCTGGTAGCTAGTGTCTTTCAGGTGACTCTGGAAGTCGGTGGTGTAAAACCTTCGACGTCAGGAAAACAGTGCGGTTCGGAGTCGTACAATGTTTGAATGAATTAAGAACAGGGTCGACAGCGAGCCAGCTACTCCTGTGATTTCAGTTCTGCATAATCACTTCTCTCTGAAAGGTCGACCTTCGTGGACCACACAAAATTGAGCCGTTCTGCTTTGCTGACCTTGCCCCAAGACACGCTTTTCGAAACTTCTTGGGAGCTTTATGATAGTCTGTTGCGGCATATAAGCAACTGGCAGAGTGCTTTTACAAAATTAAAACTAAAACTGTATCCCCCGTGAAAGGAACGAGAGAACGAAACTCTAATTTGAGTTTCGTTGAACAATTCTTAC